GACGTTCTTGACTTCCTGGTTTTAGCAGGTTAAAAACACCAGTTAAATGACTAATAAACTTGCAGGTAAAAAGCCCAAAATAACCTCTCTTACCTCCTTGTACTGAATGCCTACTTTTCATGTGTTTTGAGTCTCTGATGTTGAGATCCTGTTGACTTGCAACATCTCTCTTAGCGTCTATTATCCACTGTTTAAGTTATTGTAACTGCTCCCTAATATTTACTCTTGGGGACAAAAAGTTATTTCTTGCTTTATTATGGCAGTGAAAGGACTCAGCGAGGGTAAATCAGCGACAGCTGCTCTCTCGCAGGTTAGAGGAATTTTCACGCTGGAAGAAGGATGGGACGAGGTAGTCGCATCAGGAGCACAGGAGCCCTAGATCTGTTTTGAGCGGCGCAGCCCACTTGATGCAGTAAAGAATGAAATAGGCTTTCCTAATCACATAAAGGGCGCCTAGTAAATACGTAGGTGAATCAGCTATGAATTTGGATTGATTCTGCAGTAGACAGATACTATTGCCCTTCCCCGCAGAGCGTGACGTGCCAACACGTAACCATAAAAACCCACCAGTTTGGCTACTGGGAAAATGAGGAATTGTATATATTGGCACTAGATGTCAGTTCTGCCTGTGGAGAATTGGAGTGGAAGGCATTTTAGTTTGTCTGACAGGAATTTCCACGGGCATGCTTCAGAAAAAGCATTCTTTCCTGTACGATACCAGCTACATTTGCTCTCTGCGACTGAGGAATGGAGTGACATCTCGTGCGGATTTGCATGCAGCGCTACAGAATAGATACGTAACGGAGGACCATCCATTTCAAAATACACCATGAAGAGAACAAAACGTGTTTCTTTGAAGTTACTCAATCGTATTCGTATGCTGCTACGAGTTGTGCTGGTTACGAGAGCGCTGTTTCATACGTGTTCACGCTGCACCATTCTGGAATTCATTTTCGAGCATCGGGTAGATCACAGCTCTTTAAAACACGAACGCAGCCAGGACGCTGAAGTGCATCCAAGTTTAGCTAATGAATACTGATTTGTTTGGCAGGGAAATCTGGAGGAACACAGGTGGCCTTTAAGAATGATCCAGCTCAGGCTTGCCACAATACAGGAAGCAGAAAACCATGGATCTCTTTTGAAGAGAGATTTTTAATGGACGGGATACTGGGGTTTTTTGTTGTGTTTTTTTTTTTTTTTCTTTTTCTTCTTGTACCTGAGCTGTGATGCAGGGGCACTGCCCAGGCAGGTGGTGAGGAGCAGGGAGCGGAGGCAGCAGGCTGCCTTCTGGGATGCGTCCGGGGAAGCTGCCCGCGGCTGGGCCTGCACCTCAGGTGTGCAGCAGCTCTTTGTCAAAAGCTGAAAGCACGTCTGAGGTAGCGAGATTAGTAAAACACACGCATATTTCTACAATGATACGTGTAAGACTATTTTACTTCACAGGTTCTGAAAGTGCGTACCAAGCCACCGCAGGTGCAGAACGGGAAAATAAAGGAACAGCTCAGATTTAAAATACAGCTCGAGTGTAGCCATTGCTACATTTATGTTAGAATTCATGCTGGGCAGAAGTGAGAAACAACTGTAAGAAGGAAAAAAAAAAAATAAATCCGCCCCCAACAGGCTGCCGGAGCCGGGGTGGGGGGGGAGGGCCGTGGTGCTGGCACCAGTTTGCCGAGGCAGTGGGGGGGACTGGGGCAAAGCTG